TAGTTGCCTTTAGTAAATCAACCCCAAAATGTATTACATCTAAGAGTTGCATTTGGACTACCACATACATATGTCAAATGCAGTCATGAATGTTGAATATGTTATTAAAAGCTATTCACAAAGCAGATATTGTTAATGTTAATGTGAGCACATGTGTCAGTGATAACAGATGAATACATTTAGGAACAAGATATTTAGGGTGATATCTGTGCTCCAAAATTCAACTGATTTATAATACTGTTTTCCTGTAAATGGTCAAACTCTTTGTACCATTCAGTAAACTATGCAGCAAATGAATCTAAAAAGCACAGCAAAAGTGTCTGAATAGCTGCAAGTTAACAAATAGGTCGGTCTAAATTTTAAAATGATCAGTTCCTGATTAAATCAAATAGAAAAATTCCCTTATCTTGGCTATTAAAATCTGGGGGAATACAAAGGGGCTGATTTACTAAAGGCAAATAGGCTGTGCACCGCAAGTGCACTCCAAGTGCACTTGGAAGTGCACTGAAAGTGCAGTTGCTCTAGATCTGAGGGGAACAAGCAAGGAAAATAAAAGAACAACATTTTTTCTTGCACATGGTTGGATGAAAGAAATCAGCAGAGCTTTGCCTCATTTCAGAGCTTCTTCTCAGATCTAAAGCAACTGCACTTGCAGTGCACAGTGCATTTACCTTTAGTAAATCAACCTCAATGCCAGGTATTGTTTATCTCCTTTGGAATATGCTAGTTTAGTGATGTAGTGTGGTGGGGCAGCTGGTGCGGTCACGCTGGGCGCAACATTTAGAGGGGAGCAGAAATTAGGCCACGCGCCTCCTGAGCATATTGGGTCCGTTGCCACAGCCGGCCCCATTGCTGTATATGGAAGAAGGGACCAGAGTTTTTGACACAAAAGGCATGAGAGCTATTTTGGTCTTTTCTTGTGTGCGGCAAATTTTAGTTCATTGATGCAGATCAGATAGAAGGATTCTACTAAGGGAAGAACATGGCAAAGAGAAAGCAAGCAGAGCTGTGCTCAGTGCAGACATGCTGAGGCATCAGGTTTCCCTGTCTGCCTCTCTTCCCCGGCCTGGGCCTGGGGTTGCTGACTGCAGGAGAGAAGGAGGAGGCAAATAGGAGGGCTGCCAGTGACCTCGCGATCCCAGCTTGTGACACACAGCACTTTATCACTGCACTCAGGTTACACAGAGTGCCCATTTTGTAAGTATAGAGGCTGCCTGGCTGGGAGGACTGGGTGGAACCTTGTGTGTTTGAAAGGTAATGATTCTTATTGCCCCGCATTTTTTTACCCCTCCTGCTCCCTGGTGGTGGTGTCTCCTCGCATACAGCAGAGTAGCTAGGCATTAACTTCTATATAATTTACATAGGAGTTGTGTAACGTAGATGTGGGATTCATGTGATTGGACTGAGATGTGATCAGTAGCAATATGTAATTGCAAATTTAGTTTCATTCCTTGTCATTAAAGAAATATTCAGTCATAGGTATTCAGAGACATGTGCTCACCCATTAGCATCTGAAAAGACTGAAAAGAGCAGCTTCCAGTCTGGAAGTGACACCTAAGTGCCAATAAGATTTGTCTATATATATACAGTATATATATATATATATATATATATATATATATATATATATATAAAATCAGACTTTGCCACCTTCCTGAAGTTTAAAAGAGGAACGTAGACGTTTCGGCTTCATGACAACAGGGGGGGCTCCGATCTGTTTGGGGAGCTTTAACCTCCCTGGCGGTATGATTATTTCAGATTTTTGGTGCTGAAAGCGGTACCATTTTTTTGCATGGAAATATGTATTTTTTTTATTGTAGGCTGTAATTTTTAGGAAAAACTCATTGAAATCTGTCCGAACAAGAGTCTAGTAAACATCCCGGTATGATAAAAATTGAAACACAAAATCATAAATTATAATTTAATAAATAATCATAAAAATAATATAAAAATAATAAAAATTTAATTCAATAATATAATCAAACCAAAAACACTGAAATGTGAAATAGAGCGCCAAGTTCGCACATTGCTGAGCTCAGTCGCAAAATCGTTTTCAGTTTCTGATGACGAATTTCCCCCACGAATCATTATCACTCAATTCTGTAAGTGGTTCTGATTTACTATCGCTGTTCTCTAGCTGATCTAAACCGCTTTTGACCTAAAGGGACACTTTTTGGACGCCATGGACATTTCTCAGTTTCCAGGCAGAAAGAACAGACAAAATGCAGGCAGGGCGCAGGACAAAGCACTAGGGACAATATGTATGTGAAATAGGTTGAAACAGCAATGTTTTACTGTGTAAAATGAAAAAAAAAAAAATGACATTTTTTTAAATTTTTAAATTTCCCGCCGCCGGCGGCAGCGGCGCCCGTACGTCCCGACGTCACAGGGACAGGACACAGAAGCCGGATGCCGGCATCGGCCGGAGGAGATGGCCGGGGACGCTGCAGGGGACACATCGTGGGAGCGCAGGGTAAGGTAAGTGAAGAACACATGCCGGAGCAGTGCCGCATGGTATTCCCGAGTGTAGCTCGGGGTTACCGCTTTTGGTACTGAAATGTTACCCCGAGCTACACTCGGGAATACCGCCAGGGAGGTTAACGTATATCAGTAGATCAAAGGAATAGATTTCATCTCTCATAAAAGCTAAATATTAATTGCAGAGAGATGAAAATACTTCCTTCTGATTGGGCACTCTGTGGGCTACATCTGCATGTAAAAACCGTATTTGTGTCCTATGTAGAATGCCAAAAAAATGCAGGAAATGGTTATGTGGGGCCGGATTGCGACAGCTGAACAGTGATTGGTACTGTAGCGATCAGACTGATGTGCTGGTGTCGTAAATTCAACCCCTGACTTGGTGATTCAAACCGTTCCTGGTCCAATCGACTTTGGGCATTTCAGCACCCAGAATGTCCTGTGGGCTGGTACTGGAACACCCCCCAGAGTCAATTTTCCAAAGGACTAATGTCCAGCCCACGTCCATATTCCCAGAAATTGAGGACCCTGGGATATGGACGGGGTGATTCGTATGGAGCCCATTCTATTTGACTGATGGATCGTGGACTTTCTCTGACTTGCTCCAGTCGCAGGATAAATCTTGGTAAAAGTTTTATTTCTGTTTTTTATTCCCTATTATGTTATATTGAATAGTCAATTGTGTGTCTTCTTGTATTTTTTGTATTTTCTGTAACTTTATATACTTTGTACATACTTTATGCACTGCCCACTTTCGGGATATTAATCGGGCAGGACAAGGCGGAGGTAGGTCACCCATGTCATGTCATAGAAACACATGACGCTAGCATCGCACAAACCAATGGGCAGGCAGGGTTGCAGAGATGAGCTGTGAAGAAAAAAGAACAGAAAGGAAGCAGATTGAGGGCCAGTTCACACTACATGCGTTTCAGTTACTTTTCATCTGTATCCAAAGAGAAAGTAGGCTACATGGTTGTCAATGTCATAGTTCACATCAGTGCTCGCAGTTCCATATTTATCGCAGAAATGTGTGCATTTGGGTTGTACACTTAAATGCATCTAAACACGCTTTAACGTTAGGAATGTTTAACACTTCAGACTTAGTTAATTTTAATGTCCAGAAAATGCAAAAACAGGTTTTTTAAAAAATTTTCCTTGCATGTGATTGGGTATTCTTTGTAAAGTGAAGCTTTACCTCATTTATTAAGCTCTGGAGCAACTTGCAAAGTGTGCAGTTTATTTGCCTTACAGTAGAACTATAGACACAACTTTTGTTTTCATTTTGGATAGCATAAGGGAGGATTGTAACCCTGTCAGTTTTAGAGTTTTTTTTGCCATCTGTCTCCCATTGGGGAGATTAACATTCACTCCCTGTGCCATAGCCAAAATAGGAAGTGAGAGGAAATCCCTAAAAATTAAACAAGTTCCTTGGGACCCCCCAGGTCACCAGAACCAGTGTCCCCTTTCTAAGATTCCCCTCTTTTACTTTTCTGGGGACAACCCAAAATTTGGGATTTTCTTTTACTTTAATTTTCAATGATAACTCTAATCAGTAGCACAGTGGCTAAATGGTTAGTACTTCCGCCTGACAGTACTAGTTCCTTGGGACCCCCAGGTCACCAGAACCAGTGTCCCCTTTCTAAGATTCCCCCTCTTTTACTTTTCTGGGGACAACCCAAAATTTGGGATTTCTTTTACTTTAATTTTCAATGATAACTCTAATCAGTAGCACAGTGGCTAAATGGTTAGTACTTCCGCCTGACAGTACTAGTTCCTTGGGACCCCCAGGTCACCAGAACCAGTGTCCCCTTTCTAAGATTCCCCCTCTTTTACTTTTCTGGGGACAACCCAAAATTTGGGATTTTCTTTTACTTTAATTTTCAATGATAACTCTAATCAGTAGCACAGTGGCTAAATGGTTAGTACTTCCGCCTGACAGTACTAGGGTCGTTGGTTCCCAGCCACAACACCACCTGCCTGGAGTTTGCATGTTCTCCCTGTGACTGCATGGGTTTCCTCCGGGTATTCCGGTTTCCTCCCACACTCCAAAGACATGCTGATAGGTTAATTAGCTCCTGTCTAAATTGTCCCTAGTATGTATATTTTTGAATGTGAGTTAGGGACTTTAGATTGTAAGCTCCTAGAGGGTTAGGGACTGAAGTGAATGTACAATATATATGTAAAGTGCTGCGTAAATTGACGGCGCTATATAAGAACCTGAAATAAATAAAAATGAATAAACAGGACAAATAGAGAGAGTGAATTTCCCTAAGGGGGAAACAGAAAGCAATAAAACCTGACAGGGGTTCTAATCAATCTCTACTCTGTCCAAAACAAAAAAAAAAACTTCACCTTCAGTTATACTTTAAGTAAATCAAACTCAGTGATTCTGTGTTTTTCGGTTTCTGTGCATTACTGTTGAGAGACTGATCCAAAAAGGTAGAGGCTACTCAAAATTGGCTAAAGTATTTTTACATTCCTTAAATACCATGTCTGGTCCAGTACTTATTTAACTCATGCACAGGGGCGGACTGACCATTTGGAAACTCGGGCACTGCCCGAGGGCCCGGGGTCAGTAGGGGGCCCCATGAGATGCCCCTGGTACCTTTTTCATAGGCTTTTTTGAGTTTGGGCAAGGACACAGGGGCCTCATGATCCCCTATTGCCTGGGGGCCCCATGAGTTGTCAGTCCGCCCTTGCTCATGCATTTACAAAAATTATTGCTTTCCTTTTGTGAATTGACTTTAAAGCCGTTTTATGGTATTTACCAAGAGTTTTTGGATTATGAGGTATATACCGCATAAGGTGATGGCAAATTGACATATTTAGCATTGCATGCAATATTTAGGAAACATGCCAGATCACCTAAATAATGCATTCAATCTGGTTTAGTGAATGAATCCCAGAGTGTCAGGAACCATGCAATAGCTGTGAGCCAATCACAGCTTCACAACGCTAATGCTGGCCATACATTATACAATTTTCCTTTAGATTTACCAAAAGCTTATAGTATGAGATCAAACTTAAACACTTTCAGATTGTATGCAATCAGACAGGCCCTTGCACTACATAGTTGAAGGTAAATCTAAAGGAAACTGAATAAGAAAATTATATAATGTTTGGCCAGCTTAAGCAAGCAGTCATGAAACAAAACCATTTATGACTGTTTTGTTTAATTTATCATCATGTGATTGCTGTGACCAATCATAGAGATTCCATTTTACCCCAGCCGCTTACAGCCACCAGGTACTGAGCGCCATGATCCACAGTGTTCAGTGCCCGGGTTTCCAAATGGTCAGTCCGCCCCTGTTCATAAGTCAGTAATTCAGGATGGCAGTACTAGGTAGGTTTATAACTTTGAATCTCCCAGAAACCAGTGGAGGCTTTCCCTATTCTATAATATTTCAGTTGAATAGTTTCATGAATGGGAGAACACAAACCCTTAAATCTTTAAGGGTGCAAAATGCTGTTTTGTCTAGCAGATGCTTTTCAAATGCAATATAAACTGTTACTTGGGTTAATTGGTGATATTTAGGCATTTCAGAAGCTTCATATTAAAAATATATTCTACTCTCCCATAAGACCTGAGATTTTAACGGTATAAAAGTTCTAACCGTTTTTGTTATATAAACCATTGTCCCGTTTCACTGATAAGAGCCAATAAGCTACATACAACTTTAAAATGCTCCTTTCCTTATGCTGTTGTTTGCTGTATGACTCCTTAAAAATCAATGTCATGTCTTAAAGTGTATCTATGTTTTCTTAGTTTTTTCCTTATTTTCACCTGGCGATTCAGTCAGTGACAAACATTTTGTCTTAGGCCGCCATACATAGATCGAAATTTGGCCTGTTCAGCAGGGACCAGCTAAATTTCAATCCATGTATAGGCAAGCTGGTTGTACATAAGTCAATCTATTGATCGACTTGTGTACAACCAGCCTCTTGGAAAACTTTCTCTTGGTCAGCACTGCAGGCTAAATCTGGCAGTGCTGATGAGTGTATTCTGATGGCGGGGAAGTCTTCCCACTATCAGAATACAATAGATCAGTTGAAGGGATTCCTACATCCACATCGAGTGTGGGGATGGGGGAATCAAGTCATTTTCTTTATTCAAACCACTGGCTGAACAAAAGAATATGACTCGTGTATGCCCAGCCTTATGGTGGCTATGTTTATTCCTTCACTATATGTGTGGAGGAGCAGTTTAGCCTCTCTGGACAGCAGCATTGTTAAGCGAAACCTTGCGCATTACCTCTGCAAAATGTGATTTTATTGAATTTGAAAATATACTCACAAACAGAGAAGTATAACAAGTGTGTAAAGTCCTTAGCGAGACATAAACAGTCAGAGACCAGCGCAAGTTTAAACATGAGGGAAGATTCTCAGAGTCAGGCTGTCGTGTTTTGAAGGGAGTCCGGTCTTTATCGGAGCTGTTGTTTTTTTGTTTACACCAGCAGCATTGTTAGCCTGTACAGAAGGAGGTGTTAGATAGGTTTGTAGATTTAGATGAACTTAACTATCTCCAGCTAACACCTTTTAAGCAGCTAACAGTTTTTTTTTTTTAAATTTTGGGATAAGGGTTGCTTGAGGTGATTGTAGCTGTATTAGTGCATTTGCGACAGAAACAATTGAGTACTGTCCGTGATACTTTTTTTATTTGCACTAACATACAATTTTGAGGACAAGCTTTCGGGGTATGTCCCCTTCTTCAAAGTCCAAGCAGTACTGATCACAAAGTTGTAGCAGAATGTTAGAACGGATGAAAAAAAAAAAAAAAAGGCTACAGATAAGATACAGCAAAGGCGAGGGGGATACTACACTCACACATAGGGAGTCAAGCTTGAGCTGATAGTCATAAAAACTGTTGGATAATGATTGAGGTATCCCATGTCCAAGTTAAGGCCATTATCTCTTGTGTCAAATAGAATTATCATTCTTAGTTCAAAAGTTTTTCTTTCCTGAATGGATTTGAATTTTCCTTTCAGAACTAAAACATTGAAGTCTCCCATTGTGTGGCCTGGTTGTGCGAAATGGTGTCCTACAGGTGTGCAGAGGTCATCTTCTTTATGTTCCTTGACGGTATGTCTGTGCAAATTCATCCTTGTTTGCAACTTCTGTCCTGTTTCACCAACATAAGATCCTTTGCTGCATTTTCTGCACTGGATAAGGTACACAACATTACTGGAGGTGCAGCTGTATGATCCGGAAATATTGAAGATCCCTTGTGAGTGTCTGACACTTTTTGATGGATTGATTTGGTTGCACAGCTTGCAGTGTTTCTTATTGCAGGGTGTGCTTCCATTATTTGTGACATCATAATCAGAAGGAAGTTTCCTACTAATAAGGGTTGAAAACTGATTTTTGTAACAGCTAGCTCTGTTAAAGGAGATAGCTTCCTGGCTGGATTACCAGGTAACATAACTATGTTGCAGGTCTCTAAAATACAAAGACTGTTGTGTTCATACTACTGACAAACTGCAGCATATCTAAATTTTTTCAATTTGGTCCATTGCTCAATTTTAAAATATAGTTAAGCTATGAATGTCTCTACCGATAAACCCCCCAAAAAACTATTTTAAACCAGTAATAGAAATACAGATATATTATTGTACATGTATTTACTGTACCTAATATGTATATACATTTTAACGTCAAATCTCTTAAATCATACTGAAACTAGGAATGGTCAGCTAAGTGATACCATTGTGAGCAATTTTGAGAACACAGAAGTACAAGTGATATGAAAACATTCCTTACTCCAAATCTGTCAGCTGTGTTGAACCTATGAGTAATATTTACATATCAAAGACTGGTGGATCCATTATATTTGTTTGGTATTTAATTTGGCTTTTATTTCATGTTGACCTACTCTCTATGGCAACAAGATTTCTTCAACCACATAATAGCGCATTATAATCTTGGCAAAAGTATGCTGATCTCAGCTTTGAGCTGAAAATCTTGTGGTCACAAAAGTTGTTTGTACAATAAAAGAGTCTTAACCAATTATTTCATTGTTATTTCCAAAGTGGCTGTATTATAAAAGAATTGTGTGTGAATTGACATAGAGCCATGTGGTTATTATAACCAACTACAAATATATTAGAAATCCTCAACATGTTTCTGGGCTACAAAGGAGCACTGCTAGTAACTACTGCACAAATGCACAGTATGTAAAATTGTTTCTTCCTCTGCTGGACTTGATAGAAAATGTGGATGACAGACATACTACAAAGCTATATTAGTGTTAGGTAGCAGCTCAGCACATTTATATTTTTTAACACTCTGGAGCTCAGCAGTGGGTGGTGCCCAATGATCCATAGAAATATCTTATCATGAGGTCTTCTGGGTGCCATTCCTGGGATGGCCCTCCACTGGCTCCTTCTGCCTCTAGAAGTCCCTAAAGACAACACAACAACCCTGGCTTGACCAGGATCCCAGGGCTTATCAGACCCTGCATCTGTGACTAGTGACCCCACATCCCTGAAGTGCACAGGAACGTTCCAGGGAAAGTTCCTGTTAGTCAAGAATAACACAATGTCCAGACTGGTGATTATCTTTTATAATCCTTTACTAAACCATTCAAATAAACAATGTTCTGTACATTCAGCCACACCGATAGGTGACAGCTCAATAGCTTGGTAATGTAGCACAAAGAGAGCTACAAAAAAGGGTTTTAGAGAGGGAGGGTCCATTAAGAGAGACTTGCCCTAACCAAGTGGGAGTCCAGGAATCCCAAAGCACATACCTCCCATGCAAAGAGAAATCCACATGCTTCAACCAGTAGGGGAAGCATCCATGTATCACTGTAGGTTACATCTTACCTGGCTACAGGATAGCTTTTTCCATAGACTGGACTGGCCATGCTCCATCTCTGTTCTTTCATATACCTCTTGCAACCATAATCACTGGCAGGGAGAAAGCCCAGTAACAGCAAGAACTGCGGCATTAACACTACAGGTGTCTCCCACTAATAGACAGTGACACCTACTAGAGCCAGGATCCCGTCACTCACAGGACTCTGCACCAGGGATCTCACATCTCTGATATGCACAGCAGGGGCGGACTGACAATTCATGGGGCCCCCGGGCAATAGGGGATTATGGGGCCCCTGTGTCCTCGCCCACACTCAAATCACACCCAAAAAAGCTTATGAAAGGTATCAGGGACATCTCATGGGGCCCCCTACTGACCCCGGGCCCTCGGGCAGTGCCCGAGTTCCCCAATGGTCAGTCCACCCCTGATGCACAGTTAAGTTCCAAGGGAAGTTTCTGTAAGTCAGGAATAACACAATGTTCAGACTGGAGAATATATTTTATATTGCTATAACAAACAGTTCTTTCTGTTTCATGTTTTAGATGTTTCTTGATTCAATACCAAGTAAACAACTAGTAAACAGGACATAGAATTTAATTTAAAAAAAAAAACACACACAGGCTCTGTTTGTTAAGTAAATGCACACCCTAACAGTCAAAGTGCTAATTATAATGAATAGAAAAACTACCATCCAAAATAAGTATAAAAATAAAGCATTCACAAATTTCTCCACAGGTGCACTCTACCATTGTTATGTTAAAGAGTAGAATAGCACAGAGTACATATCAAGTTAATTACTAGACTACCATAGATAGGTCCCTTTCTGCAGATTTAAATGCCAATCAACCTCTTCAGGTCTGAGAGAAGTTTATACTGTGTTGGATACTGTATATAACGTGTTATATCTTTCATCATGCAGTACTGATCTACTCTTAGTAGTCATTCCCTTATTGTCAGTATAGATGATTTCTCCCCATATACAGGAATAAGACTTTTTTGCGGCATTTAGAAAAAATAGACAAGGAGAGTTCAGTGTGCAGTGGAATAGCAAGATTCCCATACCTCCTTCTAAAATTATTACTGTTATGTTTTTAATTGCTTCTAAAATACTGTATGGCTCCAATACATCTGGTTCACAAGACATAACTACCAAATGTGGATAAATGAAACAATTTACCTATATCCCCACCTATTTGCAATCCGTGGGTAAGTTTAGTGTATATGCACTGCTACTCTATCTCAGTGTGACAATAATCTAAAGATTCTTACATTTTAGAGCTACATGATGAAACGGGAGTTAGAGATATTTCCTATGTTTTTGGTCATATTCAGGTTAAATGTCAAATTCTCATTTGGACGCAAGGAGATAACTCAGTAAGGATGGATAAGAGAAGCACTGCAGTTCTACCGTATATAGGTTACATACTTTTTTTTTCAGAGGAAAGGGGGGGGGGTTTGAAATGGAAAAACAATCTGTCCTCTGATAGGTTTAATTTCTAAATTGAGTGTAAAGGCTTAGGGAGGGAATGAGAGAAAATGTTTACATGTCGATATAACCAATAATCTAATAATCTAAGGCGTGTATTCCCTATTTGGACCTTATTTCTTCTGCAAGTTAAAATGAGTTTCTTTCACTAGTTGGTATAATCTTAGAAAGTCCCCTTTAACCTAGTTCTTAAAGCTCTGGGGTTACAACCAGGAGGGAACTAATGGAAGATTTATTATAGGTATCATTGGAGAAGTATTGTCCATACTCTCCCAAACCTGGAAGAGTTGTTTCATAAGAGGGTATGCTGTCTTAAATTGCTGTGCTTTGGAAATCAGAGGTCTAAATGAAGTTGACTGTGAGACAAACTCATCCTTTTGGATAGCCTAGTGAAATCGCTGCTTTAAAATAATGATTCATGTTGGTGGGGCTCAGTCCTCCTTTAAATGTTGCTCCAAATCTGATTTTCAAATCAGATATAAGTATAAGTAATTACTTCTGAATTTTGAATAATACAAAGCATATCTGTATATGCTGTTAGTTTATATTCTTTGCTCCTATAGTCATGCCCTTTACAGTATATTAGAATGTTGTTCAATGGTGAGGAGCAAGGGTTCTAGGAGCAAAATTAACAACATTGGGGGGTGTCAATCCTATGGCATGTGATTGCCCAGCTCAAAAACTATGATAAATGTCTATTATTCCAGACCTAAGCCGCACCAGGTATACACAATAGTAATTTGAGGCCCAGGCCTGTTCTCAGAAGATCCTTAAAAAGAGATGGCCTGTCTACCCTATCAAATGCCTTTCAGCATCAATAGACAAGAGCAGCATTGGATGTTGAGTACCAGATGCTTAATGTACTAAGGAACTACACTTAAAGTGTTACTAAACCCACAAATGTAAAATCAGTCTGTATATGCAGTAAAGCATGCTTGTTATACTCACTGTGGAACCTAAGGGGTTAATCTTCTTCACTGTGTAAATGGCTGTTTGATCTTTTCCTCTCTGCTCCTCCTCTTGTTCAAATGCTAACTTTTATAAGACCTTCTGCACATGCTCAGTTTAGTGTGTATTGCTAGATAGGTTTTTTTTTTCTTGAGAGACTGCATGTGTTTAGCCACAGGGCCAATCAGCATTGTCCAGACAGAGGTCAGGACATTTCCATCCTCCTGGAGAAAACTCCTCCTACAAGCTTTAACCAGTGCTCAGCTGAAGTTACAAGACTGCTGTAATTGCTGATGAGAAAAGGTATTTAGCAATTTATATCTACTTTATTTCCTCACCTCACCCCTTCAGTCTCCTTTCGCATTACCAACCTACTAAGTGACATATCAGCATAGATGTCACTTCACTAATTCAAACTCAATCTTTTTAAAACGGAGCTCATACTACTCCCTCCAGCCCATGCCCCTCCCCTAACTTCTCCATCAAGATCAATAATACAACCTTCAGTCCCTCCCCTCATGCCAGGGTACCATGTGTAATCTTAGACTCCCATCTGTACTTTCAGCCCCAAATCCAATCACTGCCCAAATCTTGTAGACTTCACCTCCGCAACATCTCCAAGATACGCCCGTTCTTAACCTCTGAAACTACTAAGCAACTTATTCATGCCCTGGTTATCTCTCGCCTTGATTATTGTAACTCCCTTCTCATTGTTCTACCCCTACCCCTCAGGCTATCCCCGCTTCAGTCTATCATGAATGCTGCTGCCAGACTCATCCACCTTACTAACCATTCCATATCTACCATCCCTCTCTGCCAATCCTTCTACTGGCTTCCCATTGCCCAACGAATACAATTCAAAACATTTCCAATAACATATAAAACCATTTACAACTCTGCACCAAATTACATCACCATTCTTGTCTCCAAATATCACCCAGAGGGGTGCATGGGCGATCAGGGATGATGGCGAACATGCAGCTGTAGAGCTCTGCTCATCCCCGGCCTTCCCGGCTCTCCCACTCAGCACCTTCAGCCTCCACTACACACAGGGTGAGCCATATAAGCTCCACACCCAGCCCGGCACCTGGGGAAAAAAAATGGGGAAGATTGGGCGCTGGAAGCCCCCCTCCCCGCCGCCACAAGATCTGTGGCCTTCACCGCTCCAGCTATTGTTTTCTAGGCTGCAATCCCCGGCCTCGAGTACCGCCGCGAGTCCGAGGAAGGGCTCCGGACACCCAGTGGCAATGGGAGGTACTGTGACTCCCTCCTCTATGGAGCAGCCAGCATCCCTAACATCTGCACATCCCCAGATGGAGGATTCCGAGCCCCTGGCAATGGCAGGGTGGGCAATAGACCACTCTTCTTCAGGGCATTATTCTGCACTATCATCTTCTGCCCCTGTATCTCAGCATGCATCATCTTCTCTCACAGTCTCTGCGCTAGACGACAAATTGCAAGTATTTCTACGCAACATTACCGCTTCTATATACGCTGAAGTTGGAAAATTGGCTTTGGATCTTAGAGTGGAAATAGCCCAGATCGGAGACCGTGCAGATCAATTAGAGAATAAGTTTGATGAATTGGTGCAATACATTCATGTTTTGGAGGAAGACAACGCGTATCTGAAGCATTCCATGTAGCAAATGCAGCTCCAAAAAGAAGATTTGGAAAACGGAATGCCGCCAGAAAATCCGTATTTGCAGTATGTCCAAATCAATTGTTGATTCTCAACTCCACCGACATCTATTGTCCTTCTTCATCGCAACCGCCCCCATGGTTTCAGAAGTGGATTGGCAGCTGGATAGGGCTCATCGCTCTCTGGGCCCAAAACCTGTTGAAGGCACCAGACTACGCAACGTCATAGTCCGCTTCCATTTTTTTAAAAGCAAAGAAGCCTTGTTATCCTCAGTCCACAATAAGCCTTCCTTGGAATTTAAAGGGGACAGACTCCAGCTCTTCTGTGACCTCTGTCCGATTACCCTGGCCAAACGGTGGGCACTGAAACCGATCACCACACACCTTCAGCAACACTGTGTCCCTTATCGCTGGGGATTTTCATTCAAGCTGGTCATTTCTAAAGATAACACCCAGGTTATTCTACGTGACCTTTATGAGGCAGACTCTTTCCTAAAGCAGCTGGAACTCCCACCTGTATCGGAAGATGCATCTTCATTGCCACCTACCCCATCTCGCCCTTCCTCCTCCCCTAACAAGATTTGGACACCAGTTCGCGGGGGGCCAGAAGCAACTTTCTCGTACCCCCCAATGCCCACGTCCTCCTCGATGAAGTGATGTGCCTTCCTGATGTCCTTCTGGGGTGACCTCTCAGTGATACTCCGGTACTGACCCTCCCCCCCCCCCTGTTCTTACATTGTTTTTTTTTTATCTGGCTGAGTCCTTGTTGGGTACACTTATATTTTTTTTTTCTGGCTGGGTTTGACGACTGTTCAGATGTGTCGGTTGTCATGTTGCCCCCGATCCAGTCTAGCCATCGGCCTAGATGACTTGGGTCTAATTATTTTTCCCAAGTATATATCCTTACAGATATCTATGTCTCCCACTGTAATTTCTATGGTTTATATTTTATTTGCTATATCAGTGTTATCGGTTTTCTGTTTTGTTTCATCGATGGTATCCCATTTATCTTTTCTGCTGGTACACATGCGATATCCATTATTATTTTATGATGTCCTTACATTTTTTATCCTATAATTTCAAAGTCCTTAATTCCATCCAAAAATGGTGGATGGCTTTGAAGGAATTTCGATCCTTAGCAGCAGACATCATTTTTTTCCAGGAGACCCATTTTAAATCAACTGGCTCGTTTTGTTTTGCCTCAAGGTTTTTTCCCAATCCTACTCGGCTTTTGATCCTTCTGGGAAGGCTGGAGTGGCAATTCTGATTCAAACACACTGCTCCCTTTGGTTCATTTCCTCCAAGGTCGACCAACGAGATCATTTTATTATTTTGGAATGTATGCTTGGTGACACTCCCCTTGTCTTGTTGAATTTGTACACCCAAATACGGGTCAATTGCAGTTTCTTTCCCAAACAC